TTTACATACTTCTTATTACGCCAAATTCATTGTTTGTTTTTTTCCCCGAATCACCATTGTATATGCCAAATCTTTTCTACTATCACCGATATCATTTTACTACATTTATCACTTATATCATTGATCTTAAAAAAATTCGATTTCATTGTGTAGTTATAATATTATAATATAGCCATTTGAACCAATGCACATCCAATATTAGGTTTGTACATTGTGTTATAATTGGTATATGATCATACTACTACATGTGTATGTTTTTAACAAAGACTATTTGTTTAGCTCAACCTTTATTAAAATGTCAAATTGTATAAAGGATGATTAGATAGAAGCATGTATTCATCCATACTTTCCTTCTCCATACGTTTTTGTTTTTCCAATAAACTGAAGTACCGATTCTCTTGTGTTTTGTCCCTTATTTTCCTGTTGTTTTGAAAAAACTTTTTTTTCTCTAAAATTTAAGAATAAATAAACATTAAATTCATTTAGTATTATTTGTTTGAATCTTCCCATTGATGTTTAGGTCTGCAACTGGTCAGTCTCTAATTATTAGCATATGTGCATACTGTGCGTATTGCCTCGATATAGCCTTAATTCACAAGCATGGTAAGCATGCTAGCCACTATCCATCTCTGCTTACCATAAATAAACATTGTTAATTGAATCATTAACTATGTTTAAGAAAAAAATGGTTTCATCTTGCTCGATTGGATTCAAAATGGGGAAAAAAATGCTTATCTGTATTAGTGTCAGTCTCACTTGGTTAAACATACTTGGCCTTGATGGTAATAATAATTATATTATACATTCTAACTACTTATCTTCGTTTCGCCTGCCTGTCAAAATTGTCTAAAATTTAATATATAGAAGTGGTATGATGATATTATACATCCCAACTACCCTCGTATATATAACCATCGACTTCAATCGTGTTAGTAAATATGAGAATGAAATTTGAATACGTCTATTTTTTACAACCGTTAAACTGAACATACAATTAAGGAAATGAAGCGAAGAGGAGAGAGCGAAGCGAAACGGATCGCAAGTGGAGGAACGTGGGCCAACTCGATTTAACTAAGCGTGACTCAGTATTTATAGTCAGAAAAAAAAAGTCACAGACATGTCATGAATTAGAGTAAGCAATCCACGTACGTACGATCACGTTAAAAGAATCTGGGTTAATAAGCAAATAATTAACATGATCAAAATGTGACTCATTAAGAATGAATGAATTGGTCTGTCCAGAAGCTAGAATAGCCTATGTGGGCTTGACATAGTACCAGCCCTGACGAATATATAATTATTCAGATCAATAGTAAGTACTAACTATATTTTGTCTTCTACGCTTCACCATAATTATTGTTTTCCAGTCTCTCACTGCACACTTATAAGTACTTTAAATTCATAAACCTGAGCCAGTGAACAGGTATCTTGAACACTAAACCTGTGATCAGATGAGATAAATTCCTGAAAATTACTTTTACAATTATTGTTAAGTGTAAACTATTGTATTGCTTCGTAGACATCACCTACCGTGGTTTGACATAATGATTTTAAACAAATTGAACATTGGATTGAGTGCTAATACACATCATTATTTATAATATTACTTATCTGATTCATGCAGAGATTAGGTATGTTAAAAGACAACCATTTCATATACGGGGAGGTTACCCACTAATGGCATCAGAAGATAGGTTCATAGTATTTTCAATTGATTTGAGTTAAAAATGTAAATCATTAGTTGGTGACTCCATAGTTTAAAGTTCAGTAGTCTATTTTAGGCTTAAAGGTCCTGGGTTCGACTAGCTGTAGGGTCATGAATGAAGATTGCTAAGGTGTTCTATGCTACTACAAAACAGCTCTCTAGTGCTTTCTGGTTTTAAGTTATTGTCTTACTAAGATTATTTTATGATGCAAACCACAGTGCATTAAAAAATCTGGTCTAAAGTCATTCCATATATATTTGAAAAAGAATTTCCCAAAAATGATTACAAGTTAGTTTTAATGGGTTAAACCTAATTATACGCCTCCCTTTAATTGATCTCTTTTACGTGTATATCTATAATAGTCATAAATAAATAGATCCCCTCTTGTTTGCCTCGAGTTTTACTGCATTTATTGTACTGTTTTGATAAGTTTTGTTCTTATTAAACAGTTGATGAGGACTTTCATTGAACTCTGTAATTTATAGAATTATCATTTAGATACTGAGTGTTGGAAGAAAAATCTGTGATAACCTTTAAAGAAGTAACATAGAAGCTGTTTTTAGGTTTACCCAATACGTTATCATCTCTTGTTAAAGTATTAAAATACTACATCGTTTTCCATGTGATGATCTAAAGCTTTCATTATTCTTCTAGTCAACATCATCAGCACTTCCAAGAGAAGTGAGTTGTTGGGATTTCTCTATTATTGACTAACAACTTGTTCTATCGGTCGGGAATCAACCTATTCCCTTACTAAATATTTTTAAATCATTGGGTTTTTTTCGATGACAATGGTAGATTACTATACTACTTGTCCACTTCGTGACTGAGTTGAACATCTTTTGTTCAAATCAGTCGAATGTTTTAGCTAGTTAAATGTGGCTACTTATAATGTTTATAAGTAGTGTAGTTTTCACATCACGTTTTTATTCGATGTCTCAGGATTAAGTTTGTAATTGATATTTTAAGTGTTTTTTCACATTTGTATACTATTTCTGGAATTATTATTTCCTAATAAGTATTTAAAAGTTCGATACAGTATTCCGGTTGATTTATTCCCATTACTATGATTTAAAGGGCCATTTTTCTCCATAAATGTCACTTGTTCATCATGAAAGTTCAAATAAAATAACACTGAAAGTTTGTTCACAATTACAAAACTTAAAAATGATAAATAAACCTTTGAACTTTTCATTTTAATATTTATGAGCAATGTAAGGAGATCCAGTCCTATGGTAGCCGGTGATCGACAGTTGTTTCATACGCCATTTGTTCCCTCAGGATACTGTAGCCCATGTGCACCATTGGTTTGGAATCAGAGTTTTCCAGCTCCCCTAGGTGAACCCTCCATATCCATCAACGCGGTTAAAGCGTTGGACATTCGCTTTTCGTCCTCTCAATTTCGTAAACAAGAGTAATTCCACGAGAAAGCAATGAGTAGGACTTCCCTGGTAGTGTTTGTATACGCATGGACATGTAAAAGCGTTTCAAAAGGAAGAACAAACTCTCTCCACTTTCGATTGTACCAGGGCCTTTGGGGACGAGATAGTCATAATAATATTCTATTAAACATAGTAACAGTGAGGTAGAATAAATAAAGGCATAAAAACATTATTTCTGTGTTCATTATAGTGTGACAACTTCAACTGTTACATACTTTCTAATAATACTCTATTTTGTTTATGCTTAACCTTTTATTATAAACGTGTTTTCTTACTGTAACCTTTAACATATATATATATATATATATATATATATATATATATATATTAACATGAAAACTATTAACCTTATTTATAATCATGTCTTATCATGATATATCTGTCTGAATTAATGAATGATTATGTCATCAAATATATTTGTACTCTTAATGAAATTTCTAAATAATGAAAGTTTCTATAATGGATGATCGATTTTAAGTATACCCGTTCATATCTAAACTCATATTGATTGGATCAAATAGTATGATATATTGTTGTATAATGAAAACTTGAGACTATGAGAATAACTAAAATGATTTGTTGTGGATCTATGAGGATATCTTCTCTAAACATAAGATTATTATTATTAGCTTTATTCAATATTATATTTTTTGGTACAATATAGAATTCTCAGCACAAAGTACTTCAACAAGTTTCCGTTCCTTACTTCTTTCTCCTTCCTGATGATAAATATTGAGTGATCGCCAGTTAGAAGTTAGCAGTCCAGTCAATCGACATCTGGATAATGTACATTCTTCTCGCTGCATATTGCCAGCAACCACGAAATCTCTGATTAGGCCTTCTGTAACCTTTACAGCGAAAGGTCTTACACTTTTCAGAAAAGCACCTGAATAGGATGTGCGATTAATAGACACAATGATGTATTAAAACAAACAAAATTAGATAACTTGTTGAAATATCTAAATGACAGGAACAGGTAGCCCAGATGTTTAAACAGGCCGCTGTATATGAAAAGAAAATGCTTTATACATATTGAAAAGGAGAGTATGATAGACGTCATAAATATAAATAATAGTTTGTTAATTGTAAACCTTATTTACGTTAAATTGTGATAGTTATAAAATGTTGACTGGTTGAATTATGTCTCTCCAGTCCAACTGTCGTAAACAGCCTATGGATGGTGATGTGTACTTCTGAACCCTCCTCTAACTCAATTGTAATCCCACTCATCATCTAATGTTACTCCTCTTATTTTGTGCTAAACAATTGTATTGTATTTGTAGTTCTGATACAGTAGTGAGTTTACAATTGATTGATCATTACACAGCGTCCAATGTCATGTTCCTTTGGTGCTAATCGAACTGTATTGATCGAATCTAAGTGACTTGAAATCTCATGCGTCATGTTCATATGTAAGTGCATGGTTCGAGGTTAACGCTCGTCATCGAAGTCTACTTGCAATATCGAGGGAATTGACATTACCGAACAGCTGAGTAGTAACATCTCAGACTATAAAGCTGGATAACATGAACTCGATTGTCACAAAGAACATCAATGCCCTCAACGCTGCTAGTAGGCCTTGGTGACGAGTGTCAACTAGCATGAAACTTATATCTAGGACTTCCTATCGACTACCTCCAACGACGTAATAGTAGTTATTATGCCTGAAGAACTTAGAAATAAACTTTAACCCAGTAACTAGCAGCAACCATCTTTCATTTTCTATCCCTTAAACTGCAATTTAATTCAAATGTTTGGTGCTTTTTTTTAATTTATAACCTTGTTATAATCTTTTTCTAGTGTTCTGTCTCACATTCATTCTTTAATCTTTTTTTCCCATTTTCTCTTTAAGGTATTCTGTTTGGATTTAGTTTCACATCTAGCCCAACATTATAATATTCAAGCAACACTGGATCGTGCTGCTTTCATGATTGATTCATTATATCACTTTTTGACAGGTTTGTATATAAAATTTTAAAAATCGTTTAGGATCTTATTATATAAGTACTTCTTTTGTGATCTATTGTCATTTATCTCTAGATAAACTCTAATTATGAAAACACGGTCATTGGTTTGGAGGGGTTCACAGAGACAGTTGCTCCATATTTCCTAGGTTTACATCACGAATTTGAACTAAGTTGGACAATCATTGAAAACCAAGAATTACTCAATATAACTATTTTATCTTAGTGCAGTGCAGTGTGCTTCCATAATGTTTACCTGTTTGTGACTAATTTGGAGACTCAATTACCTAAGTTCTTGTGAGAAATCATGACTAGTGAAATTCAACCTTGTCGGATGTGATGCACTTACCACTGCTATTATAAGTTGGTTGCGCAACATCTCGAGTTGATTAAAGTCAATAATGTAAACTATTGGATATTGACTCAGTGGTCTGAAGACTAATCAGTTTCTGCTCAATAGGATCATGAATACATACTAATGAAGAAGACTACATTATTGAGAAATAGCTCTCCAGTTCTCCTTTATTCTCTATGGTGACAGTTTAATGAAGGCCAAATCATGATGAAAACTAAAAAATATAAATATATAATATAATCAATACATGCGATTACAATTTTAGTTAAAATATGTTCACATTGAAAAGCTCTCTATCAAGTCAATTACTAATTGCCTTTTCATACAAACAATATGTCACATGCTAGAGTTGACATTAACAATCTGTTAGTCATAAATGATATAGAATTCATTTATTTATATGGGATACTCTAAGAGTAATAAGTAATAGATAAATGCAATTCACCATCTAATTGCGATCATATTAATTACATTTTCCAGATATTTCATTCACATTATATCGTGTTGCGTTTATGATCATATGCTCACTAATGACTGACTTCAAGAGATATTTCCTGGAGTTCTAGTGAGAAGCAGTAACCAGTGGAGTTCAATCAGGTCTGTTGTGAGATAGTAACTCACTGAAGACAATTGGTGAACGGTTGCTCAACTTCGTGAATTGGTTGAAGTTAGATATTAACACTGTTGGATGCCGGCTCAGTTGTCTAGTGGTTAAGCGCTCGCGCGCGAGACTGGTAGGTCCTGGGTTCGAGTCTCGCGAGGCGGGATCGTGGACGTGCACTGATGAGGAGTCCCATAATAGGACGAAACGGCTGTCCAGTGTTTCCCTGGTGGTCTAGCTTCATTTGACTCATGATTTCAACTATATAAAATTACTGAAATCTACACAAAACCCCTTCTGATCCATATGTGTTTTCGATTTACTGAATATGATATTATACAGTCAAAAATAAAAAAATCTGTCCTATATATGTATATCTGTATATAATGTGATGATATCTTATAGCCAAAAACAAAATCCAATTCTCTTTTGATTTATGATATCAGTAAAAGGTTAGAACACCTTTATAATATGTTACATCTTATGTGGATAAAAATAGAGTAGAATGTAAATAGATCGTGTTTGATTTCGTTTTTGTTTTGCTTTTTGTTTTGTTTGGCTAACTTCACAAAAATTTATTTCTAGTTTGCACATTGTATGAATTTGATTTGTCTCTAAAATCGGTCGATTTGTTGCGGTTCAAACAACAAATTCCAAGTCTTAATTTATTATTTTAATGTAAATTATTTCACTACGTGACTTCATTTGTTTGTTTTGAATTATTATGTTGTTGAAAACATGAGTCTCGCGAGGCGAGATCGTAGATGCGCACTGTTGAAGAGTCTTACAATAGGACGAAACTGCCGTCTAGTGCTTCCAGGTTTTCCCTGGTGGTCTAGCTTCAATTGACTCATGATTTCAACTATATAAAATTACTGAAATCTACACAAAACCGTTTCTAATTACTGTGTTGTTGTTGTTTATTTTCCTTTTACATTTACATATAGGTTGTTAGTATTTTTTAAAAAGCAAAATCTTCACCTTGTTACTTTTCTTGTTCCTTTATGAATTAACTGACAAATTAAGTTAACTTACATACAAAATTCAATTTATTCAGTAATTTACATTTTTCTTCTCAGAAATTATTACTTGAAATAGGAAAACACTGAAATTAGGAACCGATTTAAGTCTGACAGTCATTGGAAGCATTAGATGGCTGTATTGTCTTAGTATGGGACTTCTCAGCAGTATTCATTAACGACCCTGCAAACTAGGAGTCAAAATGCAGGCCCTTCAGTCTCGCACATTAACACTTAACCTTTAGAGTCCAGCGATCCAATGATGCGCAAGTTTAACTTAAATCAATCCACGATAGTTCGTGACTACCATTTTCTACAGTGCATACCTTCTTCACACCTGATACGGTTTAACTTCATCAATCGCGGCTTCTCATCAGAACTCTAAAAACTTCCTCTCTTAGCGATTCACTAGTGAGCACATGATATTTATTAGTGTATAGCTGTAGAGATATTTGTTCGACTTAAAACGAAGGAATTAAAAAAACTGATAGAAGGTAAATATTTTATTGACTTCTTCAAAAATACAACAACAACTTGCTAGTTAAATACTGTAATTCAAATACAGATTTCATTGATATTTAATGAGTTAATCAATGGATGTCTTGGTTAACCGAAGCGAGAGAAATACACAAGTATACACAAAAACAAGACCCTTACTTACTTACTTACTCACTTACTCACTCACTCAATCACTAACTCACTCACTCACCTACTCACTTACTTACTTACTTACTCACTTACTTACTCACTTACTCACTTACGTACTTACTCACTCACTCACTCACTTACTCACCTACTCACGCCTATTACTCCCAATTCAGCTTAGGCCGCCGACCAGCATTCTCCAACCTACTCTGTCCTGGGCCTTCCTTTCTAGTTCTATGCAATTTTTATTCATTCTTATTATTTATAGAAGGGGTTTTGTGGAGATTTAGTATTTATCATTGTTGAAAGCTTGAGTCAATTGAAGCTAGACCACCATGGAAAACCTGGAAACACTGGACGGCCGTTTCGTCCTATTATGGGACTCCTCAGCAGTGCGCATCCACGAACCTGCTCTCGCGAGCGAGATTCGAACCCAGAACCTACCAGTCTCGCACCAGAGCACTTAACCGATAGACCATTGAGCCGGCATCCCATGGTGTTAATGTCTAACTTCAACTGATCCACGAAGTTGAGCAACCATTCACCAATTGTCTTCAGTGAGTTCCTATCTCACAACAGACGTGGTTTTGAACTCCACTGGTTACTGCTTCTCACTAGAGCTCCTAGATATACTTCTCGAAGTCACTAGTGAGCATATGATTATATTAATTATAGAAGGGGTTTTGTGGAGATTTAGTATTTATCATTGTTGAAAGCGTTGGAACTCACTGAAGACAATTGGTGAATGGTTGCTCAACTTCGTGGACCAGTTGAAGTTAGACATTAACACCGTTGGATGCCAGCTCAGTGGTCTATCGGTTAAGGGCTTCGGCTCGAGACTGGTAGGTCCTGGGTTCAAATCTCGCTCGCGAGAGCAGGTTCGTGGATGCGCACTGCTGAGGAGTCCCATAATAGGACGAAACGGCCGTCCAGGTTTTCCATGGTGGTCTAGCTTCAATTGACTCACGCTTTCATTCTTATTATGTCTGTTTCTATTTCTCGGCGTAATGTGTTATGTGGTCTCCTTCTTTTCCTCTGGCCAACAGGACTCCATGTGAGGGCTTGCTTTGTGACGCAGTTGGATGATTTCCTCAATGTGTGTCCTATCCACTTCAAATATAAAACTAATACTACTTATAATAGTAAAGTATACTAATCAAATGACGCTTTAAATTTAAAAAAAATATAATGATGGACAGGATATAATCACATTGAGTTAAAATGTGATCAGATGTGTTGATCCTATCGTAACATATTGAATAATAATCATCAGATCAATGATCATTTGATTGATTGATAACGATGATGATACAATATATATGATCCAATGATAAATCATCTCAAGATATTTAATCTGATAGTTTGTTACATTTAACTGAATGATAGTTTTCCACTGAATGATAATTAAAAATTCGAGTAATAAAGGTTAAGTGATACCAAAGAGTTTGATAACAACACAGAGTTAAAGTCACAATTGATTGATCACTGGGTGGTAATCAGTGTCATATGTGTCACGTCCTTTGTGCTGATCGAATGCTATCGATCAAGTTGCAATGTATCCACGAGTCTAGGTGGCTCGACACTGCGTGCACTATGTTGAGAAAGGATGGTAGTCAACAGGAAACCCTGGACCCGGGTTTCGTGCTACTTGGCACTCGTCAGCAAGGTGTACCTGTAATCTTGATGAAACTAGTGCTCCCTGACCGATTCGATCCCATGTCACTCAGCTTCACAGTCAGAGATTGTGATTATATCTCAGTCCTACAGGAGGGCGGTCGCTGCCCGAATAGCTCAGTGGTAACGTCTCTGATTGTGAAGCTGAGTGATACGGGATTTAATCCGTCAGGGAGCACCAGTTTCTTCAATATTACAGGAACACCTTGCTGACGAGTGCCAAGTAGCACTGTGGTGTGGTCTACTTATATCCACATAAGTAGTATATGGTGTTGGTCAGACATAGAATGTATTTTGGCAGAAGACCGATTAGGAAAGAACTGAAACGAAGCACAATCGGTAGGGAATTGCATGAACAATGAAATTAGAGAAGAAACGATGAAGATTGAGACAATTGCTTGTTAATTTGCAAATTGACTGTTCATTGTATGGTTGTCAGAATTTACTGAGATAGTCTGTAATTTTTGCTTAAATACATTCGATTGTCCCCAACCAGTGTTCTGTTCACTACAGCACGAAACCCGGGTTTAGGGTTTCCTGTTGACCACCTCCAACTACCATCTTCTCAACCCGGATACGAGAACATATACCAGTTTGGTTCTACAATGGTGGAAAGAAAGCAGTTCCAAGTTCTATACTCGAACACCTAATCGACTGTAATCATTCTACGGATCCACAGTCTGATTTTAAGGTTGTTTAT